CAAATAAACCCTGCTACTTGTTTATTTGCTAGCCACAGTTCAATTTATATTATATATGTTACTATACCAATTTTTAACTGATTGCCAAATCAAAGTACCTAGTTATTTTTGTAACGGATAAAGTAGCTGCTTCGTTTTTGGGTACAATATTAATTAAACTAACATTTTGGAACAATAACTAAATATATATATATACATATATATTACTATGTTCTCGGAAGACATTGTTAGAAAAAGTATTTTATTAAATTTAATAGTTATATATATCAGTAAAATATATTCGGTTAATAATTAGCCTTATTCGGATTAATCCATGGCAAATATTTGATTGAACATTATTTATTGTAACTATGTAATAATAGATTATACAGTAGCTAACTTTCCTATAACATATAGTACAGTATACAGAATTGAAATCGTCGATTAATATTAGTTTTTCAATTACTTTTCCAAAGCTTAACGTCATCGTCTAAAAATACTAAATTGGTGTAGAAACGTAAAAGCACAGATATGTCAGTATTGCCTACATAGTAAATGTAAAACCCTGTAAATTAACTCAGCTTCGCAATAAAAATAGCACATCGCTTTACTTCCGTTGGTCTCAAGTTCGATTTCTCTCACGATACAAATATAATTATTTGTAGATATAGGTCTGAGTCTTTTTTGTGTATATCTACTGTTGAATTAGGAATCCGTACATAGAATAAATAAAAATAGAGAGTGGACTGTATTTATTGAAAAGAAAATATATTGGAAAAGGAAGTTCAAATACCTTCTTTAGTCTTCCACACTCTAAAGTAAGCAATGTAGGTAACACCAAACTTATTCCCCTTGGCCAGGAACGTCTCTATGTGTAGTATGTACAGTTTAATGGCCACACACTATAGAGTGTATATTTTAATAAAAAGAATTATATTAACTAAATCAATAATTTTCTTTTTTTTAAATAATTAAAATACCGAGCGTCCGTTTTCTTCCAGTTCTTATTTTCAATTCACTTTTTATTCTATATCTATTCGAAATATAAGTGGCCACGTGTTTTTATTTATGGCCAGTATTTCCAAGTGCATTTTTCTCCAGTAAGCAAGCCAGTGATACCTACAACCTGCTTAGACTAAGGAAGTTCGGAATACAAACATATCCTCGGACGAAACCGTATTGACGGTTTCATGATAGTTAAAATAAAAAAAAATATTAGAACAGAAAGTAATATATAAGGAACTGTATAATATAATATATTTAATAGGGATGTTTATTATAGTTTATCGGTTTATTAACTGGTCTCTTAAGGTTTGTTTGTGTACGGATTGAACACATCTAATAATTCCCTCATCTCTAGTACGAAATAATTTAATACGAACTAAAGGCCAGTTGTTATCGGTTTTAACTAAAACAATATTTCGTATTTTAATATTAGTATTCGTTTTGAACCATTTTCCCCATTGCAAAGTATTTAAATCTTTCCATCTTTCTCTGAAATATTTCCAACGAGACAATATGTTAATTGTAACAACTAAACAATAAAATACTTACATACTCTGAGATAACAAAACTTTTGACTACAGGGAAATGACTCACGGTTAGAATATTATGATCGTCTGGAACATCATTCGCTGGTAGCGGATATAGCGGCCTGGAATTTAAGATAGCCTCTATTTTACAAATATTGTGGAAAAATCCTCAAATGCTAAAGATTTCTATCCTATAGTTCTAACAAGATGATATTTTACTGATTTAAACCAGCTTCAGTTAACCCATTAATATGTGCTGCACTAGACAAATTAAACTTCCAAATTAAAGATCGATTAGAGCAGCTCTATATAAGTTTATTTTGAGTTTGACAGTCAGACACAAATCTGAATTTCATTTAAATGTTTACTACCAGCTAAATTTGGTGCTACTGTCGGAATAAATAATAGAACATAAACGTTTACGAGAGACAGAACGATCTAACACAGCTAAGAAACATTCCGCTGATAATAAAGATATATTAGGCACACCGATTTAAGAAGAAAAAGTATAATCCATCACATTTAAAATAAGTAATAATGTTGCTAAGTAACAGTTGATATGTAACGTGCAACTGAATCTGATCGAGAAGAAATTATATTTGCTGCTGTATATAATCCACTGAATATCTCCATCTAGATAGAGTTCCACGTGTGGACGCAGTCGACATGGTCGACACATGCGTAGCATCCTTGTGTAATAAGAAGTGATATGGTGACGCACACACACACCACAATTCATTGTACTTTTACAAGACAAATTATCATGGTTTGTCTTTAGACAATTAGTAGATACATAACAATTAGCATTGGCACGGTCAGTTCTGGAATCCGGTGATAGTTTACAAAACTGCTCACTCCTATAAAGCATATCTATGGTTTTGATTACAATGAAAACAAATAAGTTTATAGTAAATAATAAATATTATTCGACAGCACTGATGAAACCATAATTACTTTCCCGGTAAAGATCGCGGCTTATACTTATATTATATTTCGTTTCATTTTTTGTTACGGTATTGCGTTCCAGTACCTATCACGAGACTGGAGGACGGATTAGAAAATGTATGATCAAGTGTCTTAATTTGATTGTACGCGAAAATCATTAATTCACCAAATGACGAAAGTAACACTTGGTCGCAACTATCTTCTAGTGGTTGTATCTAATCCACGTAACGCTAAATGACAAATAAAATAATTACCTAAATTATCCACTTTTAAGGCCTCTAATGTCTACATAAATTATCGAAGATCTCTATGATTGAACTTAAATTTGCCGCAGAGTTCTTTCCTGTCGGAGTTATCTAAGTATATACCTAGGTAGGTAGATACTAACAAGTATCATGACCACAGAATATTGGTAGATAATTAAATATTAATATTCTGTGGTCATGATACTTGTTTACTAAACATTGCCAAACATGTGGCAGTAATAGGAATTTTCTTAATTACCTATCTATGTCAAGTCGTGGACCTTTTATACAAGATAACACAAAATGAAATTCATCAAAATATTCAAAATTATCTTCATGAACCAGTGATAAGAAAGTATCATGAAACGGTAGTTCAGTTTTCTACTCTTACAAGTAGAAACTTACGCAATAAAAATAAGCTAATTTTACCTAAATGCCGTCTACACAAAGTTAGTAATTCATTTTATGGTAATTGCGTAAGATTCTATAATAAACTGCCAGAGTCTACGCTAAATCTTACAGAGAGGCAATTCAAATCTTATATTAAACAAATGTTATGTAAAAAAGCCTATTATAAGATAGATGAATTTATAGATGATAGCAATATATAGCAAGAATAAGTTTATTTGCGGACAACGTTATAATTTTAATTTTCATACTGCTTTCTTGATATATGATAGCGTAAAAATTATATATATATGATTGCCGCATGCATCCTTATGTAAAGTGCGAATACTGTAACTAAAATATAGTAAAAGCTGTGACGTGGTCGTGTGGAATGAGTCATGCTCACTAAAATGTCCAGACATGTGGCGGCGTGGTGGGCCGGGTCAATGGGCTCCCTAAAATATGGTCGAGCGCAGTGATGGCTAGAATAAATAATTATCCGTCATACTCGTGAACGAGGGCTGCTTATGGGGACTGGTCTGCTCTTATCACTACGACTGATTTAATCTTATTGCATGATTATATTTGACCCAAAAATTAGTGCTTGTTGGTAGTTTGTATTCACACGTTTCGACTTGTAAATGTAAACTTACAAGGATTATTTAAAAGAGCAACACACAAGTTTCTTGCTCGTTCTTCTTGTGATGAGACAGCTTTCCGAACGAGTGGTAGATAAAAAACAAATTGTTATGACTATTCAAAAGTGCTTAAATTAAGTTTATTTGAATAAATGATTTTCTATTCTATTCTATTCTATTCTATTCTATTCTATTCTAATTCGCTGTCAAACCCCAGTAACTTTAGTTTGTGTAAAGACGGCCGAACCTGCTCATTATTTTGATTAGTTGAGATAGTCTCTAAAGTATAATGTATCAAATGAATCCAATTTCCTAGTAAAGTATTTAGCATCAGGATTTAACTGAATTTCGATTTGCAATATTTCCATAATTTACTCTTTAAACCGTGTTCAAACATTATCTAAATCCGAAATTTCAGCTAAATATAATTGAATATTACTTTTAGTCACGGACTTTGACAAATCATGAACCTTTTGTAAACTGGAATATAAATATTCCTTTCGAAAATATTAAATCTTTTTTTTAGAATCCATTTCAGAATTGGTCGTCATTTGTTTTATTGATATTAACTACCTATGGTAAAAATTATATATATATATATATATATATTGGTATATATGCGTCCTTGCAATTTCAGCTATTATTGAATGAAATGACATGTTATAAAAATAGGAAAAACACGATAATATGATATCCGAATTTACTGGAAAAATCAATATTATAACTAATAGGATATAGATAGGTATCTAATTTATCCGGTTCGATTGGGCCAAATAACTTTGGATTACGAATCCGTATATCGAATAAATAATTATTCCGTATATAGAATTTTTTGAAACGAAAATAATTATAATGAAGAATGTTAATAGGTATGCCAAATGGGTTAAAAGTTTGGTATAATAAAGCTTGTATGTATACAAATATATTAGTTTTTGTTTTAGTCAAAAATATCCATTAGTTTTGATTTTATAGGCATATAAACTTACGATAAATTTTGAGTCCCGCTAATAGTCACGTGACATGAGACGTCATTTTACAAGGCTCCGCTCCGCATAGAAGCGAGTCGTCGAGTTTGTGCAGTATTTTGTTTTGTTTTTGTTATGTATTAATATTGATGGTAGTAGATAAATATATTTTTTCTGTACACCGTCACATACAGTTCTTTGTATCGGCCATTAATAAACCTCATTCCGTGATCGTCTGTCTTTCATTGAATACATTACATTGGCGCAGTCGGGTATTTTTAATAACCATACGTTTATTTTACATTCAAAATGCCGATAGGAAAAATTGAGACTTTTGAAATTGGTGTTCATAACTGGGATGCATATTGTCGTCGTGTGAAACAGTTTATAACCCTAAATAGTATACCAGTGAATCTACATGTGGCTACTTTGGTGACCCACGTGGGTGTAACCTGTTACGAGTTAATGTGCGATCTCTGCGCACCGGAACTACCGGAAAACAAAAGTTTCGATGAATTGGTGAGAGTAGTGAGAAAACACTTAGAACCACAGCGGTCGGAGATTGCGGAACGACATATCTTTCGGCAAAGAAAGCAAAAGCAAGATGAGACAGTGTGTGATTATTTGCAAAATTTAAAGCGTCTGGCTAAAACTTGCAATTTCACGGAGACCGTTATGAACCCACTGGAGGTTAACTTGCGGGATCAATTCGTATCTGGTCTTTACAATGAGGACATGAGGTCCAGGCTGTTTGCCGAAAAGGATTTAAGTTACAATCGCGCCGTGGAACTGGCGCTTTCTCTGGAGGCAGCGGACAGGCACGCTATACAGGCGGGGTCCGGCGGCGGCGAAAGCAGAGGCGCAGCTGAGTCACTGCACAGCATAGCGGCGAGACGAGAGCGGCGCAGCGCGGTGTCGCCGGCATCGGGGCAGCCAGCGGTAGTACATCAGGCAGCCCGATGCTGGCGTTGCGGCCGCAACGGTCATTCAGCAGCGAGATGTCGTTACAAAAATTATTCTTGTGATCAGTGCGGTCAAAAAGGACATTTAAAAGTGGTGTGCCGTAAAAATACGCGTAAAAGTGACGGAAGTGACCCAAAGGAAATTAAGGAGCAACATTTTTTAGATGATTCAGGTGACAGCGAACTAGATTTTTATAATATAATTTGTAGCAATAATGACAGTCCTTATTACATTGATTTAAAGATTAATGATATAACAGTCAAGTTTGAAATAGACACGGGCAGTAAAATCTCTGTAATATCAAAAAATAATTATAATGAATTATTTTCTCACATCCCACAATAATGGACTGGGCGCCGTGCTTACTCACCGCTTCGCGGACGGCTCGGAGCGGTTAGTCAGCTGTGCATCGCGTACGCTCAATGCGGCCGAATCTAATTACTCACAGCTAGATAAAGAAGCCCTCGCTATCGTGTTCGGAGTCACTAAACATCATCAGTATCTTTACGGAAGACATTTTATATTACGTAGTGATAAAGTTTGTTTTGTTTGTTTGTAACATAAGGCGTTAAGTTATATTTTCGGAAAAAATAAGGGTATTCCACAAACGGCCGCTAGCCGATTACAGAGGTATGCGGTAAAGCTTGCCGCTTACAACTTTAATATAGAATTTGTGACTTCTACAAAAAATATTTTTGCTGACTGTTTGTCAAGACTGCCATTAAAATTGATAAAAGAAAAACATATTAACAAATTAATAATCAAAAGAATAATTGTTACTTTTATTTTATTGAAGATCAATTACCTATTATATTCATGAAATAAAAGAGGCAACAAAAAAGGATTTTTTGTTAAACAAAATAATCGGCTATATTAAATTCGGGTGGCAATCGACTACAAAATGAAAACGAAAAACCATATTTTAATCGTAAAGAAAATTTATTTGTCGAACACGATTGTCTCGTTTGGGGTTATCGGGTAGTGATACCAGTCACTCTCCAATCACAGATGTTACAAGAGTCGCACAGCGGGCATATAGGCGTAGTTAAAATGAAACAATTATCACGTAATTACTTATGGTGGGATGGAATAGATGCTCACATAGAAAGCACCTGTCGCGACTGTGCCGCTTGTGCCGCACACCGCGACGCGCCGCCGGCACATGCTCCTTTACATTGTTGGAACTGGCCTGATCAACCGTGGGTTCGTCTTAATCTGGATTTCTTAGGTCCATATCGTAACAGTCACTACTTAGTCATAGTAGATGCTCACTCCAAGTGGATCGAAGTAGAAAAGGTAACGACTACTTCCGCACCAGTAGTAATATCAGTTTTGAGAAGACTATTTGCACGCTTCGGAATACCAAAATGCTTGGTCAGTGACAACGGCCCCCGTTTTCTTCTGCGGAGTACCTAAATTATCTACAAAAAAACTGTATCAAACGTATTCTAGTAGCGCCATATCACCCATCCAGCAATGGAGCGGCAGAAAATGCGGTTCGTTCGGTTAAGAGAGTGCTCAAAAAAGCGACAGTAGAAAACAAAGATTATGACAGGGCATTGTCTGAATTTCTATTTACATACAGAAATACCGAACACTGTACCACAAAAAAAGAGCCGTCGGTGGCGCTCTTCGGGCGCATGTTACGCGGCCGCCTGGACTTGCTGCGCCCCGACACGGGCGCCCTCGTGCGCGCCGCGCAGCACACATAACAGAACGCCGCGGCGGCACCGCGCGGGAAGCCAGCCATGGCGACGCCGTCTACGTCAGGGACTACTCCACGCCGAGCGTCAAAAGGAGGGGTTAAATACGGAGCGAACGGAAGGTGTCATATGTAGTCAAAACGAACAACAACGATCGTCCTATCAGGAGACATATAGATCAGATCATAAATAAACAACCTTTAAGAAAATCACGACATTCTTTAGGCGCAGCGTCGGACATGTCGAGACCGCAGGTAACGAAGGGAAACGAAGACACCGCTAACGAGTGTCGAAACGATTCGTTCGCGACGGGAATGGACACCGAGCAGGTCATTAGGTCAGACGATAAGTCGCAATGTTCGCAGTCGGCAGCGACGTGTATGGATACCCGGTCGGCAGACATCGGCAATGGCAAAGAGCGTATCGGTAATCAAAACGATAAAAACAATGTTATAAATAATGTCACTAAGCCCAATACTCCCTATGCCATGAAATTGAGACCCCGTAAATAACGAATAACTTTATATTGTTTGTTATTCAGTGTACTTATACTTTATAGTTTTTATTAGTAACTTTTACACAGTGTAGTTAGCAGTAATAAGTCATTTGTAATAAAAGTACATCTTTATAATTGTTCTATATGTATTATATGCAACCGGGTTTTGTATAATATCCACCTTTCATTTATTTTATATAATTATTTAATGTTGCACATGTCCGCCATATTTGTCATGAGTCATCAGTGTGTAGGTATGTGCACTAATATTTAAATTATTATAAAAGAATTATGCCCGTAAAAAGTTGTGCATGCATGGTATGTTTTCACACCTAGTTAAGTTAAGTATACAGTGACAAGGTTGTATTTATGTGTTTATCAGCAGATCTTTCTTTTTATTTATCGTATTGTTCTAGTATTAGGCGAGGAAAGTGTTATGTATTAATATTGATGGTAGTAGATAAATATATTTTTTCTGTACACCGTCACATACAGTTCTTTGTATCGGCCATTAATAAACCTCATTCCGTGATCGTCTGTCTTTCATTGAATACATTACAGTTTTCATCCGCATTACGTTAATATTCTATTAATGAAATGGATGAAGGAATCGAAAAAGGCCAATCGGATGATCTGCCTAAAATATTAAATCCGCATCGCACGTTTAGGTACTTCTATAAATCAGAAACTAATTGACGTATTGAAGTAATTCTTTCACTTATATTTTTTATTTTTGACAGAGAATATGGAGAGCTAACATTCAAAATTAGTTAAGATTCTTCATTATTGGAAAAAAATGGCGAAATACGATTTCGCTTCCTCACTTCGAACACTCCAAAGACTTAAGCAATGTAGGTAGATAACACCAAAATTACTCACCTTTACTCAGGAACGTCCCGAAGTAGATAGATATAGTACCTTGATAGATACAGATTAGAGGCCACGAATTCTAGAGTGTATATATTTTAATAAAAACAATTATATTACATTAATTAAATCAATAATGTTCTTGTTTTAGAACAGTTAAAATACAGAGTGTCCTTTTTCTTCTAGTTCTTATTTTCAATTCACTTTTTATTCCATTTTCGAAATTTATATGGCCACGTATTTTTATTTCTGGTCAGTATTAGGTAGACTCAATAACGGTCGGAATTTGATCACCATTAGAGAAGATAGTATATATCTAACGGTAATCAAGTTTCCGCACTAAATATTTGTCATCTCACACATGTTAATTGTAACGGAATTTTAAAAAGTAGGTAATATAAATACATTAAGTAGTGACATGGACTTCCGCAAAATAAAACCTAATTTTAAAAATAAATCATTGTTATCATTAAAAACTTCAATTATGAACTTCTATAAACTTTTTACATTTAGAAAAAAAAAAATTGCCTGCTTAACAGACACCAGATATATATATATTTGCTATTACATTTATGTTAACTTTTTCAAAATCATATGTACCTAATATAAAACTAACTGCTGCGGCAATTGAGTCGTGAAATCTGAAATAGCGGACGACTTGTACTTTTCCCCAATAAAACAACCTCACAATAAAAGAATTACCTACCTACTACATGTACCTTTAAATAATAGATAGATACCTAATAGTTCTAAACCAAATGTAGTTTTTTTTTCTTTTGTCGAATTCATATGCATGGGATGATGAATTCTAATTACTTTTACAGTAGCTACTTGCTTAGATACCTATAGGCTGGCGCAGCACCAGTGGATAACAGAATGCAGATGAAGTCAGGTCAGTTAGCCTACTTACTATGCAGAGAGGACTGCGTGGATGTCAACGTCACATTACTAACAAATTTCTTACTTACCTAAACATCACTGTAAAGCGCCTGCACTAATCTTAGGTAGATTTGGGCAAATTCTTTTACATTAAGTATGTGATTGTCAAGACAATATACTACTATTAGATATACTCCCTATAGTATAGCGAGGTAGAATAACGCTTACCGAGTAATGGCACTCACCTCTGTAACTCTATCAACATGGAATGTAGCAACATGCTTAAAGAACGAGGATAGGTAGCCTCGAAAAAACAGCAATACAAACAGACAGTAGCTCGCGTCTTGTGATCGTGAATTACGGATTTTCGTTTGCGGCCATACTGATCTAATTTTTGCATATCTACGTGTTTTATGGCGGTAGGTCTAAAATTTTAATGCTTATTTAATTATTAAGTATACTTTTCTGATAATCAAACTATTCTATTTTATAGTAATGTAAACAATTTTTAACAATTGCGCATGATTTTTTAAATTTCTAATTAATTACAAAACGACCGGTTGGGGGTTAGGTATACCGCTCACCTGGGCGCCATTACCACTTTGTGACTTATTTTTTTATTGTTGTAGATATGCTAAGAAAACGTCAAAGGTTCGCCGCTAAAGTGGTTAGACCAAAGTTTGTCCAAAATAAAAAAATAAAAACATGATACAAAAATCTTAAATGAAAAATTTAGATGAAAATTCTTCCGATAGTGAAGATAAAGAGCACCTTTGCGACGATGACAGTAACGACAAAATGAATGTGGATGATAGAAATTATAACAAATGTATTACTTAACAGGAATTTGGAAAAAAATATGAATTCTGGTATCGCTGCACCATCTGCGGACTGTGGGCTCATGCTACATGTTCAGGGTGGGATTCACAGATAGATACATATCTATGTGATTTATGTATCCAAGGATAATTTATTTTTATTTCTAATTTCTCTTACCTCTAATACCTAATTATTATTATTTTATATTCCTATATTACAATAATTGAAGTTGATTTGACATCTAAGCCTGTGCTATATTTATTCAATTGAAAAAGGCTAATTTTACGTAGAAATGGGGATAATTGGGGATTGTAGATTTTACTTTTATTATACTTATAAGATTGATCTGATGGATATTTCTTTAATTAATATATTTTACTGGTTATTAGACATTACCCCGTACCCTGAGCGGCATTACCCATAGTCAGGGGCAATGCCGCTCAAACATGTGTTTTTAAATAATGTCTACCTACTATTAGTAGAATAAAGTTATACGCTTTTGTTGTTAAATTGTTGGTTACTCGATAATTAAAGATTTTGTTACTTTTCTCCATGTTTTCCTTAAGTGAACGCCATTCACCCTTCTTCCCCTACTATATTAGGATAGAAAAACTGAGATAAATTTAGAAATATTGGGATAAAATTTTTCTCCAAATTAAAAAAAATAATAAAAAATTGTTTGAAAAAATATTCAAACTTCTGGTTTTCATAGGTTTTTTAAACTAATTAGTTACTCCCTGCAACATTTATTCAACCACTCCCCTCCTCTCTTTACGTGTGACAAAATTGAGAATGGTCTCATATGGCGAATTCACTTGGAGTTTAATACGACAATTTCAGATAGGGCCACGGGGAAGTAGATCTGATATCGTACCTAAACATGTACCTAGTATAGATATAGTTAAGTACATACTTAGGTACCATAGTCTAGTTCCCCGTTCCCCATCTACTTATTTTTAATAGATGAATTTGAAAGGATGAGAATAGGATAAAGATAAATTAAGGTCTGTTTGCCTATCGTGGAGACTTCACCAATAATTAAGCACCACGGTTTCCAGAAACAAGGGTGACCGCGTGGATTATACCTAATGGAATGATGCACCCGCTTGAGCTAACGGTTTATGCTGGCGGGCACCAGTGGAGGATGGTAAGATGAATACGAGGCCAGGTCAGTAAGCCCATCGTGATAAATTCACCCCAAAACGCAACGTCCATTGCTAGTCATGGTTATTAGTCTACATTACTAACAATCTCCTAATTTACATGGAATGTTCACAGTATTTACTCATTTTTTGAAACCGACATTATTACAGATGTAAGTAAAAACAACGTTGCTATCTTTACCATAAGATAAACAAAAAAAAAGACGTTGTCTTTATCTTCATAGTGTTGTAGAATAAAACAGTAATCGACACGCTGTACATCGATTATAAATTTGTGTCGATTACAATATATTTTTACTTATCAAATAATAAATTTAAACAACTTATAATAAAATTGTTGTAGTAATTAAGTATTATATTTACGGCAATACAAACCAAGAATAAATAAATAATATTAAAATGTTAAGAAAGTATTTCACAGCATTCTGTTCTGAATATTAATTAATACTAAGTGAAAAACGAAATTGGTGCTGGTGTTTTTAAGACTCTAAGTTTTACATTGCGTTTTGAAGTATTTAGTAAATACTATATACGGTTATATATATATATATATATATATATATATATATATGTAAAAGCGGGTATTGATTGCGATATCACATATATACGTATTAAAATTTTAAACGCATTGCATGATTTCCAAGTAAAATACATTAAATCGCTATCTAAATAAATTATTGTTGCTATTACCCCTTTGAGTATTTAGTCAAAGCTGTTACCAAATAGATATGAAGTTAAGCGACAGGTTTTGAACAAAGTATACAAAGAAAGTTAGCGAAATTAGTTGGTTATTGCATACCGACAGAGAGCGATTTGAAATAAAATTAAGACATTAAATCTAAACATCCCATTTTTGCGACCATAGTATTAAACATGCGACATGTAAAGCAATAGTTATTTTATAAAAGGATTACACATTCCCTATCAATATGCGAAACCATACTCCAATGAAATTTAATTCAAAGTTGGCTATTGGCATAGTGTACTAAATGATTGTATGAATATTATGTAAAAAATTGTAGATTGATTTCTATTACACGTACTTGTCTACATTTTAGTCAATATAGGTATTTAGCTACATTCCAAAAATAAAGAATAACTCAAAGAACTTTAGTAATCGACATCTCAAATGTCAGGTTTATTTAAAAAAATATGCTCTCATGAATTTTGAATTTTGATCTACCTACCTCAATCCCAGAGTATAATATTTTTCATTTTAGGACGAGAATTTGGTTATTTTTTAAAATAATATGGGAGCCATTGTTCTTTCGATATTATAATTGATAGAAATAATTAACGTTTGGAACACTTTTACTGATTGCCAAACGGTTCTAAAGAAAATTTTGTTGTACTATATGTCTTTTAAGTTTATTAAATCCACAGTATTATTGTTTTTCTTAAAAATATATTACTAAAATAATAAGTGTTTTTATGTTGTTTATTTTCTTTCGTTTCTAAAATAATACAAATAATGATATGATATATATTTGTCCCCATTTACTACAGTTAAAATGTTTTAAATGTTAATCGATTATAAGTCTTTCGGAAACTGTGACGCACTACACTAGTTATTGTCTATGGTAGATTTACGCATTCGGTCATTCCTATTGGCTATTAAATTTATATCTCCTTGTTTTGCCAATATGGCGACTCTTGTGTTATGAGATGACAACATCGCAGTTTGTGCCCTAATTGTCATTTTAGTATTAATATCAATATTAAATAACTACCTCATAAGTTCAAAGAGAAACAAAAATTATAATGAATAACTATTTATTGTGACAAGTGCATTATAAGCTCAAAACTAAAGTGTGTGCGTCTTTGGGAAAGTACTTAGCTCCCGTAAAAATGGCGGGTGTGTTATCTTTCTCGGTTGTGTTTTCGTTCCAATCGGAGAAAGTCTGAGTATCATTTATAAGTGTTTATTAAAAGAAAGTATCTTGTAAATAACGTGGTTATCGCATATAGCAACGGTATGACTTATATGCTAATTTGACATTAGAAGAGGTGATTGATCTGGCAGAACGGTGCAGGTGTCATCGTTTTTAATGAAATTATCAGTATGTCGCGCTGGGGCAGAGGCCGAGCCGGCAGCGTGGCCGTGCCGCTGGATAGTGCCCTTTTTAGAGAAAACAGCAATTGTCCGTCAGCAGCTCGTTCGGCGGGCACTGTTGGCAAGTGGGGAATTACGAGTTTTACTTCGATCAGGAGTGCGCCCTATGGTAAGAATATACTCTTAATACATTATTATTACTTAAACAACCGCATAATAATTTAGTTCAATTTTCTCGCAACAACTAAGGTGGGAAGGTCTTTTTTAACTTAGTGAAAGTCCGTTAATTCGTAATAAACATAAGTTTTTACATTACTTGATCATTATAACTTTAATTAAATATATTTGTAATTGAAATGAAACATTTTTCATTGAATTTTAATTAATATTTTATTTTTGTATTAATTTCAGCATATGCAAATAATGTTATTAAAAAGCCAGTACAAGACCAAAATAGTCCACTGACAGTACCTGCAGTTGAAACTGAGCAGCCACCCCCAAAACCTAAGAAGTTTTTTAAATCTCGGAATGCTGAACCTTTCCCACCAGTTCCACAAATTACTTATGCCCCTCCAGTGCCAGCTGCTCCACTTTCACCTGAACATCCCTCAAACAGTAAGAAAACAAATAAGAGAAGCCGAGTTTATAATAGAGACTCATCATCACCAGAATTACCTAGGCGGAATTCTGAGAAGGGAAAAGCTAAGAAAAATTCACTGGCCACCAAGGCCTCCAGAAAAGAGGAATCAACATCACAGAATACTCAGCCACCTAATAAACGTTATTTGGTTAGAAATCGTAATAAGGTGATAAATTATGCAGAAGATGGTAGCAACAGTCCTATTCCAGACTTCAGTCACTATGAACCACCACCACCACCGCCTAAAGTAGCTTCTCCAAAGGTCCCATCTCCTAAATCAAGCCCTTCAGTTAGAAGTCCTACTCCTGTGAAATTGGACATAGCGAGCCCATCAACTAGTAAAGATGGTGCAGAAGAACGAAAACCACCACCTATAGTTTTACGAATATCTAAAGGCACATCAAGAATTGTAAGTACTGATTCCAATGAAGGTTTCACTTCACCCAGTTCTGACCGACATTCATCTATGGATGCACATTCTGATTTTGGGTCTGATCATAAAAAAAGTCCTTCAGTGGAAACAATTTGTTCTCCTAAGCATGAGGGTCTGAAAATTACTATAAAATGTGCAGGTCTTAATCAAGAAATTAAAAAAGAGAAGAAGAAGGATAAAAAGGATCATAAATCCCATAAACGTCACCATAAATATGCTGACGATGAATCTGCAAAACCAACAAACTCCCCAGTACCAGGGTCTGATACATATGATCTTTATAAAACTTTGGCATCACCAGGACAAGATGATGAGATAGAATCACGAAATACAGTAATAGCTGATGATATTGAATCTCAGTTAGCCAAGTTAGACTCTGTTGGTTCTAAAATTAAATCTCCAAGGTTAGAAGTTCAACCTAAGGAACTCCCACCAGAACCTAAGCCACCTGAACTTTCATCTGGAAGGGCCAGACGAAACAGGCCTAATATAAATTATAGTGAAAATGATGATTTTTTGGATGCCTTAACATCAGATTATTCCAACAAACATGGAACAAAAACAGTGAATGATATAAAGAAGGAAGGTCGGAAAGTTAAGAAAAAACATGAGTCTGTAGTTGAGAGTCCAGTAGTTACGTCACCTGAGTTAAATGAGGGAATTGACAAAGAATCTGAGAGTCACAAGAGTAATTTAATAGACATACTTTCAGCAGATGCTGACAGTAATAAGGGACAGTCAGGAAATGATACTCATAAAGTGAAAAGTTATAAAAAGCAAAAACAAAAACTCACAAAGCACTCTAGTCCTGATTATAATTCAGATGTTCAAGAAAATATTCAGGATGACCTAGAACCAAATGAACCAGAATTACCTCAGGATGAAGAAAATGCAGATGATTTTTCACAAATAAATAATGCTGAATTGGAAAGTCAACAGAATTCACAGCCAACACAATCATCTGATTCCGCCTATAATAGTTGTCCTAATGAAAATTCAGAAGAAGAATCACAAAAAACACAATCTGACGATGTATTTAAATCACCTCAAAGAATATCCGAGACTGAGGAACTTACAGAAGACAAACCAAGTGTGAAATTAGTTATAACGAAAAAGAAAGGATCTATATTCAAAAGTAAATCTTTGATGAATGATAATCCATCTCCTTTACCAGCAAGAAAAAGGCGTCATCTTTATAGACATGAGTGGGCAAATGATGTGAGTAATAAAACAATGTTGTTTTTTTTATCTTTATAGCTATCTAGCCACACTATGTCAATGTATGTTATATGTATTCATCAACTTATGGGAAAGGGAAATGGGCAGTTGCTAAAATATATGAATCTATACATATTGTAATATAATTTTATTTAAATAATGAAATTATTAAGAAATCCGAAAATTGGGTATTGTAATTAATAATGACTACAACAATTATCTCAGAGGTAACATATAATATGAGAATAAATCATAATGTTATTTTTATCTTATTTTGAGTGTTAATCCAAATATATTAATCTGTGTATAAAATAAAATAAATTGCCATAGATAGATTTTTTTTATTTATAGAAAGGAAATGAAACTCCAAGACCTGAGCCACCAGAGAACCCAGAAGTCAGAAATCCAGTGAACAAAGTGCCAGAGGAACTGACAAGGGTAACACGGTATAAACCTCCAGATCCAATAGTGGACAGTATTGACTCTACTGAAGCTGTAAAACCATACACTAGCGTAAAATGTGCAAAGGAAGCTAAAGAGGTAAATACTATATTATGTTTTACACTATTTAACATATCTATCAATATTAGGTACTTTAAATGTATTTTATAAAAACTTCCTTAGAATTAAAATTATAATATACAACAGAATGATATTGACCTAAAATCCATTTTATTCCATTTATTATATAAACCATTATACCCATAAAAAGATGTTAACACATATAACTGTGGTATTTTAGACAAATAGACAATATTCAAAATCAAACAATATAAAATTTTTTCTCATAAATGTGTACCATATACTACAATGTAGATTTTGCAAAGAAGGATAATAATAATAAATTGGAATTTGTAAAGAGTATTAATTCCAATTTCGTTATATCTATTTAGATGACAAAATATTCCATAATCATTTACAAATATTTTTTAAATTATAATAAAGATTGATCAATATCATACTTTACAATTACATTACAATATTTCATTTATTTATTATATATACATATTAGTAATCATTTCAATTTCCTTTTACAGTTCTATACAGTTGTTAGAAATGTGAAGAAAGCACATCAAATACAAGAAATTGGTGAATTCCAAGAGTTGAACGATGATGTGGAATATATTTTGGATGCATTACAGGTATGTTAATTAACAAACATAATAGTGGTGCTTGTTAATTACAAATATTAACTGTTTAACAATATTCCTTTTTATCTTAAGATATTCATTATTTAGAATATAATAAGATTTACTTAGGAATAATATGCATATAGTATGCAGTATAATAGAACGAAAACTTGACAATGATTAAACTGTTATATGCAGAAAACCTTCTAGCAACCATGGTAATGACAGGCAAAATCATTCTCTTGAGATGAGTTTTATTAATAACAGCAGTGTTACAAAAAGTGATTTTTTGATGATATTATATAATTAGAAATGTATAATTGCGATTTATTACTTATTTTCCTTATCACTTATCAGTCTGATATTTATTCACGTCAAGGATGCCTTTTCGAATTCAGACCATATTAAATAATTTTCATTACAAGCGATAACTAGCCTGTAGAAAATACAATACTTGTATTTTAATTTTTTCATTTAGAATGTTTGTCTCGCACTTTCACTGCAGTAAACGCAATAATTACGAGCAAAGCACAGTAGGAGATGGTACCCTATTTTTTTAATTTACACTAAATCCGCTAGATGGCGCTATTTCCACAATAGGTAAATATTTAAATTTATTCTGTTTTCTCTCCTTTTTCTTATAATTAAAATAATGTATTTAGAGTCACACTTACAGCTGCAGATGGTCAAATAATATCTAAAAATGAATAATTGTACAGAAGGGCTATAATAGGAGTTCATGGGTATGAATATAATTACATAATCTCCATATGTTTGTTTAATATTTAGGACAACAACCCAATGTCGACGAGATGCCTGTCGGCTATCACGTTGGCCAGCAAATGTACTGCACCCGCGTTTCGGATGCACTTGCGGGCCCATGGCATTGTGCAGAAATTCTTCCGCGCTCTGCATGATGCCACCAATGACCAGGTATATTAAACAACCAATATTATTGTTGAAAATATTTAATTAAAATACATTTCAAATGCTAATTTTGACAATACCAGTAAAATAATTACATAGCAATTGAATGATTAAATCTAAGCTTATTTGAAATAACAATTTCAGAGTTTGGGGCTGTGCACAGCAACTGTCATGTTTGTATTGTCACAAGATCGTCTTAATATGGATGTGGACAGAGATTCACTTGAACTCATGTTGAATTTGCTTGAATCTGATGTTTCACACAAGTAAGTATCAAAACAGGATAAAGTAATATTAAGCCCATTGTATTCTTTACCTACTATACATACAATTACTTACTTTGTATACGCCATTGTTTTCTTATTAACAAGTAATATATTATATATAACATATTAACTTGTACAGAATGTTTGTATTAGCTGGTAGAGAAATCCATATGGCATTGAACAAGACATAAGGTACTTATTAGTTTGTCATAAGAGTCAAATTAATATATCAAAACATAATCTCTCAGATCTAGGTATAAGAAGATATAAGTAGAGCACTTATAGTATTTGTTAGCTTTATAATTATAGCTGTATGCTTATTATGACTTTAGTGTTCATAATATTGAAGTATATGACAATTAATTTTATACAAATCACTATCTTTTTGTTGTACTTTTTATATTACATGGTGGGTAATTATAAAACATAGAAAAGCAGGCAAAATAAATTGTGTATATACAATTTTTTTTTAGAAATGCTCTTGATGACTGTGGCCTGACATCAGCTCAGTTGGCAAAGACACAGGAGAGAGTTCGTGAATTGTGCGCTGAAATCAAAAGTCAAGGAAAAGCTCAGCATCTAGATTTAGACAATATTACTGTAAGTAGAAAAGAATAATATTAATAATATATTTTATTTTCAATTGTACGTCATTAATATGATGTTTACAAATTCCTTGTTGACTTTGTACATTACCTCATGAGAGGTGTGTTGTGTTAGGTAAGTATCTCTTTATTAGGTCATTATATTTGTGGTCAATTTGTTTATATGTGTAATAACTTCTAATTGTTAGTATAAATCGATACAAACTTATATAATGCTGTTTAAAACAGTGAACAAATTTTAGTGCACAAAAACATACACAGTGGGCATTTGAATATTAATATAGCGTAGGTTATTAATTCTGTATTGTGTCCAATATTCAGAGTTTATTTCCATTACATGATATTTCCCGGGAACAGGATACAATACATAACAAATATGGGTATATTTTATTATATCTGTATTATTGACCCTGTATATAGGCGAAAATTATTATAATATACATACTATCACTTTTCAAGATGTGAAGGTAAGTAAATATCTATAATATCTGTATTACTCACACATCGCCTACATTAAGTCCAAAAGCTTACTTTTTTTTGTAAATACACCCAAACCTGTACAAAAGACGTCATCTGCTTCATCCTTATCTCATTCATTTGGGGTTCTCATTATGTTTTTCTCTTACATTCATCCTTGTTCGCAGTAATCTTGTTATGTACTACTTCCTTTCTTCACACATCAGACACAAATGTTAATATTGTAAATCATACCTGCAACCACAGATCATGAGGCCATAGGTTAAATAGTTAGATAATCATCGTAGTAATGTTGAAATGTGTAATAAGAAGAAGATAAGAAGTAAATTAAACCTGCGACCATGGGATGAGATGTAAAATGTTAGAACACTTGACGGCACGGTGGTAACATAAAAGGACAGATGGGGTGGGGAAAACCAGGGCATTAAAAACAAAATGGGAGTCGTGTCGTATCAATATTTAAAGAGCATCATGGAAGAACGCGGAAAGAAGCGATAGCTCCACCGACAAGAACATAGCTCTTAAACTATGAATGAATGAGCGTTACTATGGTATAATGTGCAGGTGGGACATTTGGCGATGGAGACGCTACTGTCGTTGACGTCGAAGCGCGCTGGCGAGTGGTTCAAGGAGGAGCTGCGCGTGCTGGGCGGCATCGAGCACATCGTGCGCACCATCCAGGAGTGCGCGGCGCGGCTGCCCGCAGCGCCCGCCGCCGCCGACGACTGGCAGCCGCTGCACATACACGAGCTCAGGAAGGCCGACCGCTGCATGCGCGTACTGGAAAATGTGAGTACATACCGTGCACTCCACTACTACTCTGTTCTTACCTACTGCGAAACCTCGTGTGACTGGTGCGGGTACTCTACGATTATTTATTTAATTATTAAAAAACGGTAATGAATATATATATAACATACAAATATTGGACAAGGTGTTTAAAGATCAAATTGTTCCCTGAACAATTATAAAAAAAGTAATGGACATCAAAAAAAATATTTTTAGTTTATATAATATAGAAACTAATGCTTAACAAACAAACTCCCTTACGCCTTAATGGAATATCATGAATTTAACATGATAGACTTTACATCTTCTTTAAGTACCTCCCGAAAGTTATATAATCAACCATTTTTGTTTATTATTGCAATAGAATGAGTGTTTAATGTTTATATATATTATTTATAGGTGACCCAGCAAAATGAGGACAATCAGCTGTACCTGTTGAACTCGCAGCTAGGTGCTGCTAAGACTCTAGCGGCGCTGCTCAGGCGGTTCACGATGGAGGCACGCTCAGAGTCGGAACTGAGGCAACCTTTACTCGACGCCTTATTGCCAGCAATCAAAGTGCTGATCAACTTGTCACATTCATTTGGGAACAATAGTATGTATTTATCTTATAAGGCTTCATTAATGGTCTGTAAACCCACTAGAACTATTTAATTCAGGGATGTGAAAAACGCATAACAGATTTAAACTAATAAAATATAAAAAATAAGAAGCTATATAGTGAAACTTGGTAGCATGTTGGTATAGTGTAATAACTTACTTATGGTTATTTTGACCATGTTATGCTAAAGCACCATCACAAACTGACGAGCACTGGTATCGCGACTCTGCTCGCGTGGCAGATTTTTGTATGTGCATTTATATATGGTATTAAAAAAGTTAAAACAGTGTAGAAATCTCTGGACATAGTGTTTTACATTTGTAATTATTGAGTCTACAAAGATAGCTTATCTCGTCTTCATAAATAATGGCCCATATGAGAAATGTGAAAAATAGACTCCAACATATGTTAAAACCTACCTACCGTAAACAACAACAACAATTTACATTATAGGCGACTAAAAAGTTGTCTATATGGTCAGTCACAGTCTGAACCAATTTCACCAAGCAGCAAAATAGAGTGCAGATTATGCAGTGAAATTAGAGGATAAGAGACATATCATTTTAGTCTTCTAGAAGGGCAACACATAAGTGATATCAGGGGTAGAACATAATAACGTGATTTTAAATATTTAGGAGACAGATACCGTTGCTATTGGCAAACTGTAATTTCGCAAATCCTTATAACTGAAAACTGGATAATTCTGTCTTTACTGTAATGTATACTTAGATATCATGTCTGTATTAATGAAATAATTTTTATTATTACTATTTCGATTTAGTCTCACCAGGAGCTCAAGTGGTTGCTGAACAGCCATCGGTAATGGAGATGTGCCTGATTATAGTGAATAATCAAGGAAACTTCATACCTGATGACAGAAATTTCGACTTCAGTGTTTGTGTAAGTTGTTTTAATTTTAAACATAATGTTTTTACCATAAAGCAAGAAAGTACACTGTGAAATTAAAACAGTAGCTTTACACAAAACTGCCCTTATATTGAATACCAGATTAATACATGACATTTTCTTTATAATTTTTCTTGTTGCTTATTACAATATTTCCATATTAAATATATAAAATATTTCCTTCCGCCAGGTTTTATTACTCCTAATAAACCTCGTGCAAAACAACGAAGCAGTCACACTACAGTTGTTAAACGTCCGCATTCGTGTAGACAATGAGGACGACATTATATCACGGAGTGTCTCAGCGATCGATCTCATTGTTGATCTCTTCTATGCGCGGGAGGATCTGGCGAGGTGCGTATTTAATATTTTTATTCTTTAATTGAACAGTGTCCATCCAAAGCCCGCAAGAAATCAACTGCAAACAACATATTTAATTGAATTCTAATTTTACACAGACGAGCCGAAGAAAATACTGACGCGCTATTAGATGGTGAAAAGGATACAGAAGTTGATAACAAAAAGAAGCAATCTCAAGACGATATTGAGGAAACTGTAGCTAAATGTGAGTAACATTCTAATTTTATAAATGCAAATCAGTTAATTCCTCTTTTAAAATAATAATATTTTTCATCAAAACTGCTGTTTAAAGATTTCTATAGTTTCAGTGTAATTTTTCTAAAGATTTCGTAGTAATTGGAGATCAGAAATCTTGTTTCACATATAATTTGGTGACTGAAAAAGGAAAGACGGAAGAACATGTAAAAAAGCAACCAATACAACATTGTTTATTTCTTTCTATGATGTGTATTATGGAACTGGAATGGCAAACAATCTAACGGATCACCTGATAGTAAATGGTACCCATCTTCTAAACACATAACGACCACCGTCATCATGTCGCCTAGTGATAGCCGTGCCACCACATGCATTGCCGCCGTATTTTATTATTAAAACTTTAAATACACATTTATTCACTGCCCGATAAGACCGTTGTTATGTACAGTGCCGGCGCCGATGGGTTACCGCCGTGCCTTATTGAGTGATTCAAAAATGAATCTGTATTTTTGTAAACATCTACAAGTACATTTGAAAATAATAAGAGCTAAGTTTCATCTCAGTTCTTAGCTTTAATGCTCTCCGAACTGACTGTAGTTTTTGACATATCATAGAGTGTGTAATAGACATAAATGAATAAAGATATTTGATTTGATTTGACTGCCTGATACACGGATGCGTCGCCGCCGTTCTTATCGAGTGCCCGATCGCACCATTGTCGCGTGGCAGTGCAGGTATAGACCGTTGTTAGTGAGTGGGTGATGTACAGTGCTGGCGCGCGCGGGCACGCACATGGAGCACACGATGGTGGGCGCGTACATCGCGCTGGTGCTGGGGCACGCGGCCGGCGCCGCGCCCGCCGCCGCCGCCGCGCTGCGCCGCCGCCTGCCCGCGTACGCGCCGCTGCTGCCCACGCTCAACAAGTACTACACCTTCCTCGCGCTCACAGCCAGCGTAAGTATAACTGCACGCTCGTGATACGCTACCGCCACACGCACATGGAGCGGTTACTCTAGCGGACGTCGCGTAATTAACGTACCGTCTAATATATGTAGTTCTAATAACTAGTATATGTTAGAGAATCAAAAACACAGGTTCCGACCCTACTGTGTGTGTGTTTACACTGACAGCCAATCCTGTCATCACACTGTTACTTTGTAGACTGAACACACGCGCCGTTATTATTTCACCCTTAGTGGGCGACCGTTAATCACATGAAGCTGTGAAGTGGGGGGTTCGGCAAAAATCATGAAATATCACAAAGAGAAAGGGAATGTATTACGTGAATTTATTTTATATATTATACGTGAATTTATTATATATTATACATGTCACGTGAATTTATTTTTCGCATTAGTACACCATTCCTTTCATATTATTTGTCAGTCAAAAACAAACTGCTTTCAGTCTGACCATTTTTATCATGGTCCTTAATTTTCTAGAATAATATTAGATTATACTTTTTACCTGTGTAAAAAAATCTTAAAAGTTTTCGAAAAACTTTTATAATATTAAGATTTTTTATAATTACTAGAAATTAAGAGTAAGGAAATTCTACTAGACTTTCCTCATTTTAATAAGAAAATTAAACTTTCTACTAACTACTACCCGAAACAGAAAAATATTTCGAATTTTCACTACGGGATATTAAAATATGATTGTACTTGAGTCATAGCAGGATTCATTTATAATAGAATGTTTTTAATATATTAACTGGTACAATATAAAAAATAAAACCCTATCATCACCAGGAAACAACTTTTTTGCAACATATGAAATTCTTTATATTTATTTTTAATCCGTTTTAGTATAAATGTCGAGTAATCCGTTATATTTGTTAATGAATAAATTCCTTATAAACCCCAAGTAGATTAATAAAATATATCAGTTGTGAGAAAAAAGTAAATATTGCACGATGAGTTTGAACATAGCGCGCGATATGACATCGATCTGTAGTTTTAGACATGCGCATTTTATTGCGCGATGTCGGGGATCGCATAGACTTAATATAGACTCATTAAATTCTCTCCCTTCTACCTACTCTTTTTCGAAACATGCTTCTATAACTATCTTCTGGTTTAATAGACAGTTTATTATTCTGTAAGATGGATTAATATGTTAGTCCTCAGGAATGGCAAAGCAAGGCATTATGTCGATGATGACTAGATGGTTCTATCTATAAGTGGTTCTTAAATTGAACTGAGGGGATTCTCAGATTTATAAATAAAACTCATGAAAACTTAGACGTTTTTCAGGAAAATTGTTCTTGTACGATAAGTAATCGTTCAGGACCTAAAATAATAACATTGAACCTGGGTAATCTACATATATTATAAGTTCTGACTACTATTGTACACTTGTTGCATACATTCTTCTACCTAATTTACTATTCTTAAATACAAATTCGCTAACATTTTATTTTCCAGGCTGAAGCAGCAATCGTGGCACACGTTAAAGCTACAAAGCGTATCATTGATTTTATGGAAGCGAGTGACAGAGAGAACTCTGAGGAAGGTCCCTCGCAACCGCCCGCGGCGCCGTATACCGCCAATAGTTATCCTAGTAATTACTATCAAACCTCTCCCTCCGACGTCCCTCAAGACATGTCCCTCAGTAACCTCAACTACAGTATGAACTACAGTACCTCAAGCTCGGATAGAATGTCCTCGTCGATGGAAGTCGATGGCTATCATTGAAACTCGAATATACACTAGTGAACACTATTACATATTGATATGTTTTGTTAATCATAGTGAAATTTTATTGACACGATAACATTGACTGTGCTGTGTTTCTGATCGTATTGAGAGTTGTAAATTGCGATGACCGTTTTTTGGTTGTCATATCAATACTGAATTCTACTTTGATTTTGTTTAGTAACGGTTCCATTTATTTTCATTTGTGAAAAGTAAAATGAAGGGCATTTTAAGTAGTTTAAAATAGGACTATAATAGATTATTATATATACATACAAAACAGAGCAATGAATATAAGCCAACAATTGTGAAAATACTTGTAAATATAAATGAAATCACTAATATAAACCTTGTATATTGTGAATCCTCTAGTAATACAGTACTCGCCATTATCTGACCTATTAATGACCATCCGTTTGTAGACAGTGGATGTATGAATGTATACAGCTACTAGTAACCTCTTTTTGTAATAATATCTCTTCCTTCTCTATAATAAATATGTAAATATATATCACACAGACTGTTAATGAATAGTTGCGTTAATAATGGAAATGGGTTATGAATACTTGATTAAATTGAGATATTCCGAGTTTAAGCCACAGAACTGGCAATATAAAAGTGCAAAACTAGTTGTGTAAGTGTATAATAGATATTGTATTCTTTTATGTGAATATTGTGTCTGCACTTTTTGTATTATACCGCTACGAGAGGTTTACAAATTATTAGAATATCGTTCTGATGAGGCACAATCGTTTATTGTAAATAAATTTTAGCTAGTAACATTATAGTTCGGTCTTTGTTGGGTAAATTATAGAGTAGGCACGATTTATTTTGTTTGATCGTATGTGGTCGTAGATGCGATACGCATTCGCCCTACAGTGAAAACACCGCTACGAGGCGATATAAAATGTACAAACACTAACGTCGTTAGTTGCTCGCAAAAGAGAGAATGATATATGATTAGTTATAAATAAATAGGACTATCTATGATGTTGGAGTTTTAACCAATAGTTATAGCGATTAGACAGCGAATGAATGATAATTATTTTGTTTTCATGTATCTTAATTTCAGGACTTCTGTTCGTAACCTGACTGATTGTCCGTTATGATAATACGATTTATTGATCGGTATCACGTCTAGGTTAATTAAAAGTAAAAGATCTTTAAGGCACACGAACTACTTAATCTTGAATAAGATTGGCACATTAGGTATATTTTTATTACAATGAAAAAAATTAAGTTAATATATATATTTAATTTTAATTATTGAACAGGCAAATATATATTTTATATTCGTTTTTAATTGAGTAACTTCTTCATTCCTGAAAAGAGTTGTTAAATTTCGTGTGATGTAGCGTGGATCGCTAATTAATTACCCATGAATCGACTCCATTGCCACTGCATGTGGACACTACTTTTAAATAAAACGTCACATTCTTTAGAATATTAGATTATTATCGATTAAGCAATATCATCAAAAGTAAATTTAAAATTGTTTTCGAAATTAGAATAAAGAACCTATTGATATTTCATATTTTCATACGAAATTAATAAAAGTTCTATCAGTGAGTTTGGGAATGGCGAAAATGTCATGTGGAATTTGAATTGAACCCGAATATAGCGTAACAACAAATTAAATAGGGTATACAAAAGTTTTAGGGTATATTGAACAGTTCGACATATTTCATGCCACAATGTAATTTTACCGAAGAGCGTAAAAAAAAACAAATATATTTTCACAGCTTTACTTATTTATAAGACTATGTGGGATTAGTAAACCGTTGTAGATTTATTTTGTGGAATTTATCAAATGAAATCATGACTATTGGATGTTATTACTACCAAGAGTAAAAGGGTTTCCTTCATATTCGTTGTACAGCTATATCGATTCTTATTGCCTAAATTTTAATTACGTAATTTATTGACTTATATGTTGTAGTAACTACGAGTAGTTCTAAAATGCATTTCGTTATAAAATTTTACCGTTTTATCACACTTGTGTTTTTTAATATTATATGTTGTTTTAGACTATCGCGAGAGTTTGATATCTTGAGAAATTATTATTGTACATGTACGATGTAATTATGTTATAAAGTATTACGTGTAATTATTAAAAGAAGACAATTTAAATATTTTTGACTTGTCATTTTACTATTTCTACCTTCCAAATTAAACATACCGTCAAAATATACATAATATTTCGAAATATAGAATTTTTTTAACAATATTTAAGGTGTTTATCCAAGACTATGGGAAATCCATCAGTAGTTATCATAGTCGAGGCCTAGTTGAAAGAATTGTATACAGAGAAAACAAGTTACATAACATAGTACACAAATTCAATAGTCATAATCAATATATTTTGGCATATGTAAGAAATAAGATGTTTCATGTCGTGCCTCAATGTTTTGTACATTATTTGATTATTCTGATTCTAAAAATAGATTAATGGTGCGTAACCTGGATCTACATTGGAATACTAATTAAGACATTATATAAAACACAAAACTATGAAAAATTCATAATATAATTATTGATTGTTAATAAATAATCCTAAACATTTCTAAAAAAACATTCTTAAATTTGATCTACGGCATCTATGTGTGATATAGCTGGAGCGCGAACACCTTGCCAGCCTCCTGTTTCTGTGAAACGTTTGTTCACGGTTATCAATGGTTCAAAGTTGGCCTTAGCCAATTTATGTTTATTGCGCACCTTCTGAACCAATTCCTCATCGTACACCTCTTCTGGTACTTCTAGTTTCAGGTGTGCTTTCATTTCTTGGACAGTAACTAAAAAGCAATTCCATGGAGACCAATCTTCATTGACATGCCATCTACACAATCTAAGTTCAGTTACATCGTTACACTCGCTTATCGCAGAGTGAGAGTGCCACAGTTTTTCCACAATAAAAAATATATCCTTATCTTGCAACACAAATGCTAGCGAACCCCAACATTTACGTCTTCGCTCGTCACGCTGCACGGCACGTAGAATGAATCTATATGGAGTCATTTCAACCCAAGAACGTTCAGTTACATCTTTCCACGAACACGAAGTGCAAACTAAGTAACCATTCATCTTGGCGTTCAAAGGGAAATCTGTGTATGATTTCACTTGATGGCACAACTCGCAAAAATGTAATCGACTGTTTTCCATTTTCCTGTAGTCTCTAATATCTTTACATTTAGTCACTCCAGCATTCAATTCTGAGGTTTTTATTAATTGGAACAAGCTTGCTGCAATTCTCCGTCTCAAAAATTCAAGCTGATACTCGTCACATCTTCTGACAAGAAGATCACATTCTCTATCTAGAAGTATTATTATTTCTTCAGCTAACGGGTAACGAAATTCTTGGAGGGCGAACTTCATATCAACTAGAAGTTCCATGCGTTCTCTCACTGTCATATCGTCACGGATGAAGGAGTTGTATAATTCTTTGAGTTTCCGTGCCTTTTGTATTTCTACTGTGTCCATTGTTATTAATTTACCATCCCTTCCAAACCAGGCAACGGGTTTGGATATTTCTTCTAAAAATTTTTTTTCTTTAATTTTCTTGCTGTCTTCTTTCACTTTTACTCTGTACGCTTCAATACAACGAAGTAATTCCACTTCCTTATCGAGAAGCAATGTAAATTCAGCAATCTTGGGACCTTTAGAATGTAATTGCGATATCCGAGCTATTTCTGCATGTTTCCATCGATCAACCTAAAACATGAGAAAATAAATTTGATTAATTAAACGAGATCAACAAACTATACCTGTAATACTTAGTAGTTTTCTAACCATAGAATATAGTTGATCAAAATCTTCACGAGTTTTCGGAAATGTCTTAGTTATTAGATCCCGACGTAGACGCCGTTCCATAGCTTCTCGCTCCAGTCTATCTTCCTCTTTTATTCTGTCTATCCTCTCCCTAAAAAAAAGACAAGTTTATTTATTGTCACCATAGTAAAAACTAAGTAGGACCAACATGGAAGGAGAGGGCATTATTAATAACGGCGATTAGTTTTGTCTTTGCTCGTACCTACTTCTTGGCTCGAACTATTTTCAGAACTGATAAGGATAATAATTATAACCATGTATAATACATACAGTTCTATCTAGTCACAAGCTGAGCAGAGCTTGTGTTATGGGTAGATACTAGACAACTGATAGAAATTCATGTTTCAATATTTTTTTTGTAATTGTACAAAATATATAGAAAACATCCAAACAAACATGATAAAAACAATCATACCTACACATGATTTAAATGTTTGCATTGTGCAAGGAACCGAACCCACGTCTATCTAAAGTAAAATGGACTAAACCGTTAAACCAGCGAGATCATCATACCTAATAGATGTGATTTAAGTATCATAGATAAGTGTGCAATTAGACCTACGTGAATATAGATCTTTTATTTGGTTTTGATTGCTAACATTACATTCTTATGTCTACCTACATGTCAGGTCTACCTCCACGTGGTAGTATCAAAAAATGTATATATATATATAAAAAAAACTATATACCAACACAACATAAATACTTAATAAATAATAATAATAAAAAAAAGGATACATAATCCGGTAATCACGAATAATTTATAATCACACGAAAAAAAAAATAACAATACCTAAAATAAAAAAAAACATACCAAGAACCGCAAATATTTCATCAGTGTACGAGTAAATAATCCATCTCCAAATCCAATCACTCATCCTCAAATAAAACATTTCACATACTCTGCTAAAGCGAGCGTCACCCGAAAGCGCAAACGCAGAAGCATTAAACGCAACAGACATTAAAAAGAAATGCTCAATCAAAAAAAAAACCTCCACGTGGTCCTCCTTGAAATTATGGTTGTGTAATTCCTAATGTACTCGCCACGTTGGGTTAACAGATGGAATTCATGTTCATTCTATCATCCTCCACTGGTGTCCCGCCAGTGTATAGGTACAGTTAGTTTAGCACAGTCAGTGTAAGTAGCATTATCACCTAATAAAAAAATTACACCCACATGCATTCATGAATCCATCGCCGACATTTTTCTCTGAACTGATATCGCCGAAATGCTCGTTGTATAATTGCAGCGTAATGATTATGTTTCAAACGAAAAATCATTTGTTCATAAGTCTCATATGGTTTGGGTATAATTATTGTGTCCGTTACATTTGGGATGTAAGCTTGTGCGGTATTCATCTGTGTAGAGCGGCTGTATGGTGTGTCCTGAAATATTTTACATAAATTCATCATTGACACAATGAATACAATATTTACAGAAATATCAGCACTTTCAGAAGCATGTAAGTATATCTTAAACTCATTTACAGTTGCAATACGATTTATAGGTTATTCGAGCCTGACTTAAAACTTCTTAACAACTCCTGTAACACCGTGTGATAAGTAATAGTTTTATATACACAGTTTAGAGGTGAAATCGAAATAACTAGCCTGTTAAAAATGAAATTAAATAAAGCTCTTCGCGTAATTTCGGGTAGAAAATATTCGTCGTTAATCTAGGATATGATCTATCTGTGCACCGAATTTCTTGTATTACATTCTGACAAACTTTAATAATATCTTTGATAGATTTATTTCAATAACTGTTTACAATTGCATTATCTGAGAAAACCAACACAAAAACGAGACAAAAAAATGCTCAAAAAAAATGTCTCTTAAAATTTGATAGAGTTGTAGTCACGCAATAATGTTAAGGGTTATATTAAACTTATCTACATTGATTGAGTACTCCCTATCAGTTAAAATATAGTAGATGTCTATTGTTTTATAATAACCAATTTTTCAAAGTAAATCAGGTAAGTACAGGTAGTACCAATACCAATGTAGAAGCCGGGGTGGAAAGCACATGCGAAACTTTCATATCGGCCATAGGCGCTTGCAGGTGCATCGTTTGGTTTTTAGTGGTTAAAAATCCCACACACCAACCCGCCATTCCAGAGGCGGGGTGACGGTCTTTTGAAGATTTTAACACGTTAACAAATAATTACCAATGTATAAAACACCAAAACCTTGCACTCATAAGTTTATACAGGAGGAAAGGTGGCCGTGTTACTTTGTATTATATCTAAGTAGGTGTATCTATCTATATTATAGCAACACGACAATTGGCGTATCGGGTGTTGCCAAAGTTTCTATTAAATTCAAGGTATAATTTATTAATAACAAGATTATTCTTGTCATTTTTAGTAGAAATAACAGTAGCTAAATATCAAGTAGATAAGTATCTATAACAAATTGTATTTTACGTTGTTACAAATTACAGGGTGCTGTAGGTTATTACTTAGAAAATAAGTTATAATTATTTTTATCTTACATATATTTTTTCCCTTTCTTCAGCTGTTTGTGTGTCCCTACAGTTTTTTTTCTCTGGAGGTAGTTTCTCCGGTTTCTGTGGTGTTTGTGTATATGCGTGATGATAGACAGTACCTGAAAATTTGTGAATAACTTTTAGACACTTCTATTTTATGGGTGAGGTTAGTTGCCTTTTGTAATAACATAGTATTTAAGTATTACAATTACCTGTGTAGACATTTCTATATCCGCCCAAGTAAGGCTTTTCTATTAGTTCCGAAAATATTTCTACATTTATTTGTTTTAAAGTACTACCAAAAGGTATCATGACACTTAGAACATCGTTAACAGGCATCTCTTTGTACAATTTATCCAAATTTAATTTCTCGTTATTTTTCGTCAACAATTCTACTTCCACTATTCCATATTTATCATAATCAAGGTCTAATAGAGCCATGCGATCTTTTAATGGATTTTCTCCCCGTAAAAGTACTAAATTATCAGGGTCTACTAGGAAGAGCCCTGCTAAATTCTTTTTAATTTCATGGACTTTCATTATAGAATGATATGAACGAGTAAATATGCCATTTTGATTGCGGACTCTGAACTTGATTGCTATAAAAGGCATCGTCTTTTTTTTAGGAATAACAGCATGAAGAAGTTCATGAACGTAAGATTCTTTCGGTATAGACGATAAGAAGAATTCGTCAGAATCTTTTGTAAACACGTCAATAATTAAATTGCCCAGTGCATCAGTCTTTAGATCAGATAGTACACTAGTTTCTTTTAGTACAGTTCTGTTTTTCGTCAATAGAAGATTGTTATTTGACACCGAGAGTAATTTGGCTAATTTGCGTTTGACGAATTTAATTGGCGTAGTCGCTGGGAAGACCTTGTTGAACACTTCGTTGGGATGTAGGGGCGATTTGAAGGTGACCAATATATGGCTGATGGGGCATTTGTATTGTTCGAGGTCCCTCGCACATGGTGCTGTCAAGTACCTCGACTTCGACTCATCACAGGGCGGCGAAGCTGCCCGTTTGTAGGGTGGAGCAGTCAGTAACTTCTCTCGACCTAGTTCACATTGACACGCAACCACTCCTTTTAAACACTCAGGATTTGGGGCGATTCCTACTGTTCTACTCACATCCATTTTTACACACTAAATACGTATCTATTATTTAAAACAAAACACGAGATCACAACAAATAATAAAATCGTGTAGTATACACGAAATAAAAATAAAATAGTACTATTTTTATAACATGATTGCAAATTGATAGATTTGTTTATTTTAGTGACTGTTGCTAGGTTACAGAATTGCAACTTGGTTACAGAAATAACCACTGTACGAGTTTATAATTCTTTCCATTTTAGTTACCTTAAACACCTACTTGACAAAATTATGTCTGTTATATTAGTAGGTACCTAGATAAGCATATGAACAGTCATAGTAGCGTCCATAGTGACAAGTGTATTTTTCTATAGCATATGCAGTATAGCAATGCTCATGACAGAATAATGGAATTCTGAGTAACAAGAACTGTTGGCCTCTTTGCTAGCAATGTACTCTATCCAGCAGACGTCCACGCGTTCACCCCCTGGAAAATTATTTCAATGGATACTAACGATATATGCTGGCAGGATACCTGAGAAGATTATGTACGATAATAATAAAATCAAGTTAATAAGTCCACTCTGGCGTAGGTTGGTACTGGCCAGAAATTAATAATCAATATTATTTAGGGGAAACGTCTAGGTCTATCTCATAGCAATAAGGCACCTAATCCTCATTATTAGTAATCCCATCCCGTTTTCATAATAATCTATTAGTCTCGTTGGTGAGCACGAGCCTCTGCTAGTGCTTCGGATTTAGCCTTTATTGTCTTGTCCAAGAGAGTTGGTATACGATTTCATTTCGATTTTTCCTTCTCTTACGTGTATTCATAAGTGAAATGTATTCATAAATAGGGAGGAAGTAGAAAATACTAGCTATTTGAACGAAGGTAGTTTTTATAATAGAAAATGTTTTCCACAAAATAAATTACCCACAAAGCTTTAAAAATTGTAAACGTCTTTGAAAAAGTGCATAAAGGAAGAGTGTAGTTAACGTTTCTTATTAAGTTAATAATTTACTAACGTGGATTTCTTGAGCATTTAAGTATCTACCTGTTTTCCTTTGTAAGTGCAAATATGAGAACGATTGAACTACGAATAAGTATAGAATATTAAGTTGATATAAAATTTATAGTGTTACTGTTTTTTACGTACCGAAGTTAAAACTTATTGATCTGCTATAACACAAACGTAAGTAGGTGGTTGATAGTTAATAAAAATTGAGAAAACAATAAAATTACAGCGCAATAAAAGAGCGAATGTGCCGAGCATAGCTAGCGTGATATTAAATTCCTCCGAAAACATAAAAATGATTTTCGATCGTAAAAGAATAATTTACAGACGTAAAAATGCGCTGAGTTATGTTACGCGAAGTTGAAATACGATCTGATATATCTATTGATACGATTTCTTGTTTAGCTAATAAATTTATCAAATTTGAATAACTGCGATAGTGCGAGATACGGAAAGAATAATATGCGCCTCAAATAGTAGAAGTGCAAAACCATATATACTATACTTTTATCTGATACTAGTAATACCTTATCTAATAAATTATTCAAAATATCAAGTATACCAAGCAGCCTTTGATAATAAAATCAGCTTGGACTTAGGATTGAAGATGATTTGCTATTTACAAATAGGTTTTACGTACTTAGTATGAAACTGTAAATATGATAAAATAAGTATTAAGTCCTATTAGCTATTCCACTATGTCTTTAGTGCTGGTTAAACGACGGTTATAGACGACGATTATCACTACAAAAAATAAAAACTAATAAACAAGTAAAATAATATAACTTGAAAATTTAAATAAAATGTGATAAAACATCATCATCATCAGAATCAATGTATTTAATACACAATAGTCATGTACCGGCAAACATAGTATCGACCGCGACTACTATAAAGTAACGTTAAAAATATCACATTGAAATTATGTCCAGTCGTAAGTATGCCGGGAAGAATTACTTTCAACAGTCAATAATTAATAGATAAAAATGTTTAGAAAATTCAAATACCTGTTTACAAAAATATCTACTTTTTAATTCTTATCTCCTAGTTATCAAGCGCTTTGCTACATATTAATTGTCACTACTAGTCGTTTGAAGATATAGAAGAATTCGAGTAGAGTATTGGACATGTTAACTACTCCTGCCGTGTTATTGCGTTTGTCCAGAGAGGTCGTGCGTTCTGTAAACACATGTTTTAATCAAGCCTGTTGCTTGGCTTCCGTTTGCTGCGGCCGTCCAGCCGCCCAACCGCCCAGCCGCCCGCTCTCCTGTCGCCCGCTGCCAGCCGTATTCCTCCCACCGCCCGCCTCACGGCTTCGGCGTCGGCTCTCGGCAAAGAAAAACTTTGCATGTGTTTTATTACGACGGAAACGAACTGGCCGCAGGGCGTAATTTTGATGCCGATGTGTCCAAGTTTAAATACTTTTATTTTGATATAGTGATCGCTTATATTTAATTTTCTTCTATACATTTAACTTGTAATTATATTTATATTATAAATATAATATATTATTTTATTATTACCTAACTGCGAGTAATACCCATACACATCTGTCATATAAAAAAAGACATTCAGTATTGCGCTGTAGTTCTTCTAGCTCCCTAAATAATTTTTGTTTATAATGTTTAATTAATCTGAGCGTTTTATATCTCTGTCCGTACTAATTTGATTAAGAGATCTCAAATATTAATTAGGTAAACATTACCGATAAGGCCGACCTCTTGTTATACACATTAATATAATATCTTCTTTTTCTACATGTGCAACAATTCTGTTATTACCTAGATATATTTGTTAACAAAATAAATCTTTATAGAAATATCGGAAAAGTTATTTTGTATGGTATTTTCAGCTACCTAAGTCTTTAACACCTGCATTGTGCACTGTAGTCATGGAGAACCTACTATTTTATTGTGGAGAGTGGAGACCGGCGCGGCCCGAGGGGGCGCGGGTTCATTCGATTAAATCCCGTTGTACACGGAAATTATCAAACGAAACGCACCGACAACTCAGCGGCCCGTGAGAGCGTCTACATTAATAGTTTTTGTTCCCCAACTCACTCGTTTCGTCGCAGAAAGGTAAGTTTCGATTTTTTTCATTGCTAAAGCTATACGTTGATATTTTCAAACACGTCGCATTTGGAAACTCTGTGTTGCATGTGCACAATTAAATTTCGTGCTTGTTTTGTTTATAACCAGAATTTTAAGTAGTCTATGTATATATAGATACATGTAGTTATTTAGACACTTAATTAAAATCTCAAAATATTTATTTAACAAATGTAGACAAACATAAAATAAGTTATTTTACGTAAATAGAGGATAACTAAATTGATTTTGAAATAAACGAAAACACAGCTATTATCATCAGACCTTCTTATAAGAAATGTTCCGAAAAGAACATCATCTACTCTGAAATCGGTCACATAAATAGGCCTTACTCTGAGGTTTATTTTACGGGAACTCTCCTCGTTTCTCCGAGTTGTATGAAAGGCGTTCTATCGCATAGTACATTCATAAAAAAATTGTCAGTTTAACTATACTTAATAAGTAATAATCATAAGTCTAAAACAATTACAAATAATTCTACCAACACATTAGTAATATGTGTTGGTTTAATTCAAATGTATTTAGGTACCTACATTGAAATTGGTTATGGTATTTGCTTCGTTAATTAAGCATCATTTGAGCGATTGAAATCAGCGTAAGCACCTACTCGTACAAGCACTTAGTTAGGAATTGAAAATATAGTTAGATAGGTATCTATGTTAATTTAATAAGAAATTATTACATTATTATTTGATATAATATCTATGACTTTTCAATAACATAATTAATAATATGTTATTGAAAAGTCATATATATATATATATATATATATATGGAAGGAACATTTGGGATGGACTTTTTTTGTTTATGCTTTGCGTAAATGGTAGAGGAACCTTGTTCCAATACATCAGTATAAACCACATATGTATAATCGATCAAGCTCTTTTCTGAAATACAATATAGTAATATAATCTAAAAAAAACCATGTTTAGTCTTCAGTCGTGTAATTGTAGTGTATATATATTGTTTATTTGAAAATATTCAGTATATAGATACTTTTATATCAGTGCTGGATTAGCCTCGAAGCAAGAGCAGCGAATGTGACCCGCACATTGAGGAGATCCACGCACCCTTATATCTGAAAATAATAAATAAAGAAATAATTACAAAAAAGTTTTCAAAAGTATTTTGTTAGTTTGTACAAAACCAAACCGGGAAAAAGATCATTTTGAAATTTAGATATATTTTAACTAAAATTTTAGATACGAAACCAAGCCGAGACTCTCATGAAATCATTTGCTACGCCGCTGGCTTAATCCACCACTATGGTCTATTATAATTAACTAGATATATTATAACGCTTATTATTCCATCTTAAAATTATGTCTCCAGACCCTGTAATTTCACTGCAAACCGAAATACAGTCTGCAAGTATATTCATTAAAATAAAACCAAATAGATAACTTCAATGTAACGTCTATAAAAGAAGAAAAAGTAGTTTGGTCCTTTCATTTTCTTTTATAATGTGGAATGAAGCATTGTCACTACTTTAAGTACTTTCAGTTTAGAAAATTAAATCCCAACTATTTTGAAATGAGTAGGTACGAAATAGAAAATAAATTAGATATAGGTAGACATTGATGTTTATCTAAATAAATATCGATACATCAAATCCTGTTTAGTGTTTGTTCAGACTTTTCAATAGCACGTTAATTTGTTTGTACAAATATGAAACGGCCCGCAAACGATTTGATTAAAATTTAAATCTGCTCCATCCTGATATTTGTATTCGGTAGTCGTTCAGTTGTAATATGATACAATAATGATATTTCAGTTCATTATGAGTTCACTTATGTAGGTGTGTGTTAGTTATCACGTTACAATATTCAGTTACCAGTTGGAATATATATATATACCTACTATATGCATACTTGTAACTGAATTTAGTTTTGTTTGTAATTATGATAATAAAATAAGAGAATCTTCTTTTCTTAGGTACTAAGGCAACTTATTGAACTCTAGTACCTACTAAGGCATACTTTAACCAAAGAGGCAACGGCTGTTTTTAAATTAAGTAAATCAGAC